AATATTTTCTCTAAAGTTCATCAAACACACTGCCATGTCTTCTCTTAAATTTGAACAGCTTTTGCGATGAGTTTAGGTTTTCAATTAACCTGCTTTCGCCTGTCCTACATATAATCCAATGTAAAAGATACACATTTTGACCCCTGGTACAAATCTTAAAAAAACTCCAAGTTGCCCTACACAATGAGGAACTTTATCATTTTTTGAAGACTGAGTTCCATATTGTTCAGCAATTCTTCCACCAAATAATAGGCAGGTTTGTGAATTTAGAGTGTACTCTGGAAGTGACCAACTATTCTTTGGATCAAGTACGGTAAGAATGGAGTTCAGGTCAGTCAATTCGGCATATACCAGCAGACTGGATGACGCTGACGGAATCACTGCGATTAGTGCTGCTCACCTCTGGCTACTACACCGGACAAAGTACTCACCGGCATCGTCTCTTCGCCAGGGGAAACTACAAAGGGTAATTTTTGTCTTTTTCACCTAATATTTTCGTTCGACTCTTAACATAACGCTCCAGAAGTTTAATATTTGTTATAGGTATGAGGATGCAGGTTTTGTTTACCGACTTAATCATCCAGAAACTATGGAAAAACTGCGAACTGTATGTTTTGACGTTTTTCGTGACGTCGCTCACTAACAACATCCGAGGTCCCTTTCCAGAGCACCGTTTTCGATTTGACACCGACTGAGCGTCTGGAACTAATGAAAGTCATAATATATCAGCTTCTAAGTTACAACAAGGTGATGGTACAACGAAGCCTTCAACACTTTCACTCGTTGTGAATTTTGCCTTTTGTGCAGTTTCGAAGTCGGCAGGATGATCGCCTATTCGAGCTTTGGGAGCAACGTCGAGAGTTGAAGAAGTTGAGAAACTGGGACTTGACACAGGAACAGGTAGTTGTGCGATTGGTTTTCGTTATTCTTGGGCAACAACAGTTTTGCCAATGCATAAATATAGAGTAGCAGTGGATTTTCACGGTCGTAGTCTGACTGTTCAGAGAGTAAGTAGCTAATGTGATTTCGATTGCATTCGTTTCAGGAAGCTAAGGACGCTCGACTGGCGCGTGAGTACGAGCTTGAGCTCATTGAAGAACAAGGTCAAGAAGCCGCAAAGCAACAAATAAAGGAGTGGCCAGAGCCTAGCGAGGACACTTTAAAATTAAAACAGCACCTTAAGGCTGTTCAAGATTCACGGCGCTTCGATCGAGATGAAATGGAGCAAGTTGGTCATCAGTCTTCCTCAACCGTTGCATCCTTACGTCAATGGCATGATCATACTGTTTCAGATGTTGTTAGCTGGTGTTGCTTTCAGCGAGCTTGATTACGGTGAAATTATCATGGCGCGAGATCTACAGCGTGAAAAAGTTCAAGAAGTTGAAATGAAGCTACTGGAATCAATATATAATCTCACCAGTAGGTTCATCAGCAATAGAAAAAGGAACTTTTCAAATAAAAAATACTTCAAATGTTCCATTTGATTCGCAATCACGGATGCTGTTCGCTGTTGTGATGTCGGTCGATTTTCTCACTTTCAGCAGCAGCAGGGCAGCTTCATCTTGGACGTGACCGTGCTTTCCGAAACTACTTCCTGTTGGAGTGCGTACCATGCCTCGTTGTTGAAAATCCCATTGAAGCCGACAATGTCGGAGTTTGCACCGAAGCCACGCCAGTTGCAGATCCGGTGAGTTCATGCATGTATGTATTAGCGTTGGTAGCTATTGAGGCGTTTATTATCATTTTTATGGTATAGATCCAGTCTTGTTTATTGAAAAGTAACAGTTTTGAACATTGCTGATTTCAAGAGCGAGTATGGTAGCGAAGAAGCAACTCGTCAATTTGTGCTAGGCTGTTCGGGAAATATGAACACTTGCTCAGTTCATGGTGAAGGACGAAAACGAAGGCCAAGATGGACATTTGTGGATTCTCTCGAGAAGGTTGATAAAGTGGGTAGTAGCTTGAACTAGACTAGTTATTCATACCAAAATTACAGTTGAACATCATTCGCTTCCCAAACTTCACTGAAACATATTGTAGTTTCGAGAATATGATGCTTCGATTGTTGGGCTCTCTCGACCTTTCCGTCTCGACCTTTATGAGAGTCATGATGATGAAGGATGTATCCTTACCAATGCTTAATGCGCTCGCGTCTGTCTGTCAAAAAAGTCAGTATTGCCTGCTGGGTCAACTTTGAGATGGGTTGGGGGGGGGGGGGGCAAGCTAAACAGAACACACGTCAGCTCAAAGAAGCTCCGCTCACTTGGGCCACGACATCCATCGTAAAGAGCGAGGCTGGGAGAAAACTTATTTTAGCCTCAGAATATTCCACGAGGACGGTACTTCGATGCTAATTCGTGACTCGCTCCCTCATATGAATAAACTAAGCCAAAGTGTGTTATGTATGCGTAAACCTAACGATGCCTAGTCGAAGGTGGGCGTGGCGTGCTCTCAAATAAAAACTGTTATCAACAAAAACCCATAACTTTGTCCGCTCTCAAATAAAAACTGTTATCCGAAAAAGTTCGAGAATTCGAAGGAAAAAAGTGGGTTGGAGGGTATTGAAGTAGGAGGGTCAATTTCCAATAGCGTGCCGAGCGTGTGGAACATGCACCGGAACGAGCAGTGCAAAACTTCTTGAACCTCCATTCCATCCCCGCTAGATTTCAGTGTCTCACGAGCGTTTACTCAACGCTGCCGTATTGGGGGCTTCTTCCGATCATGGAAATGAAGCCTATTAATATCACTGCTTTCAGTCTAGGAGTAGCTTGCCAGGCTCTGAATTGAAAGCTGGGTAGGCTTTAGGTAGCTAGCCAGTAGCTAGCTAGTAGTCAAAGAGGACAAGAGGCCTACTTATTGTATGCGGTCCCAATCACCTCCGAATTACTTCGCAGTCATCAAAAGGCAATCAACTCTCTGAGCAGATGTGCAAGGTATCAATCGCACCCGCGGACTCTTCATACACGTGCACGGATATATTTGCGAGAACACAGAGAGTTTAAATTGACCCAGCACAGCAGGAATGAGAAGTCAGTCCCCTGTATCCAACTGCGTATCCGGGCAAGTAACGGTGACTGTTGGTCCGCGCTTTACTCCCCTATTCATTACCTCGAGTCGGACCACGCGGCCTCTTCACAACCGGTTAGAGAGCCCTCAGTAAAGGAGAACCGCCGCGTTAAATTGGACGATAAGAAAAATTCTACTCAGAAATTCGCAGTGCGGTTATGGTTGCGGCGGGTAACAACCGTTACAGTATGCCACATAAATTTCACTGTATTTTGTACTGACGGGTGTAATGTTCGCGTTATATGAGTGTCTTTCCAGATTGTAATCGCTTGTAATCCCCGAGGAGTGCGTGAAATCGAACTCGCAGAAGAAATCACCTTTTTCCGCCCACGCATTGCTGAAGTGATGGAAAAAGTGGTAAGTAATGTCGTCCGCTTGTTGCGCTTCTTTTACTTTTCTCTTGACCTCTTAACCTGGATAATATTCAATTTGCTCATTATACCCATCTTTTTATGACTACCCATTAGTAATTAATTGGCTATTTAGGAGAATATTGTAAACTTGTTCGTAGGTCTCATACACCCAATTCAATGCAACTAGCATTCGATATTCAGTGAGACATTCCCATTTATCCTACGATGTAACGCCCTAATTGTCTCTGTTGGTTTGTCGGCGTGTCGGTGTGTACGTGTGAGTGTGTATGAGTGTGTGTGTACGTGTTCGTGTACGTGTGTGTACAGCAGGCAGGTTGGGAACACTGATGGTTGGCGACATGATTAGACTCCACCCACAGGAAAAAGGAACCATCGCCAGCACAGTGTCTGACCGGATGTCCATAACTCCTACTACTGAACCGTTTCAGTTTGGTAATCGTACACAAGACGGCATAGGAGTCCTATTATTAATAGTAGGTGACAGGGATAGACCCTGCCCACAGTTGGTGCGGGAGTGTGCGAAAGTTGCTTCTTTGGAATCAGAGGGGAGGGGAGGTGTTAGGAAATGATACCAGCTGATAATAGCTAATAGGGAGCTATGGAAGGCAAGAGTTGATGAGTCGGCTGGGCTTTCCGAGTTAACAAAGAAAACATGATTTTTGTAATCGTGGTGTAGGATTTGTCTGGATTGTGGATGGTAACTGGCGAGAACTTATATCAATGGATAATGTTTGATAGTAGATGTAGGACGTGGAGCTTAGCTACTTTTGTTAGCGATATAGGGTGTGACTGCATCACAGATATAGGAGTTGATAGCAGCTGGTAAGGGATGTTAGAAAGCACAAATCTATAAGCCACCAAACTCTTTGGTATCTGCGGAAATAACAAATTATCCTACTTACTATAAAGCGCTTCGTCTGTCGTTCTATCTGACTGTTTGTCTGTCTGTCTGTCTGTCTGTCTGTCTGTCGGTCTGTCTGTCTGTCTGTCTGTCTGTCACGAAATTCCTTAACTCCTTTAGATCTGCCTGGAGAGACCAGGTCAAGCGTGGGATGGTGGGCCATGTCCCGAGAAGTATAAAGCACACATCAGCTTGGCCAAGCCCCGCCCACAGTGGGCGTGGCGTGCNGTTACAGTATGCCACATAAATTTCACTGTATTTTGTACTGACGGGTGTAAT